AGGCCCAGGCCGGACGCCCCGCCCAGCCGGGCTCCGCCCAACCTCCGTCCTCCCCGCGGTCCCCAACTCCCACCTAGTGGGCCTCCTGCGCTGGCCCCACCCCTGGAGCTCAGGGCCCCGGACGGCAGTGGGCGGAGCCGGAGGGTCCCCCGGTGGGAAGGGCAAGGGGAGGCCCCCCAGCTCTTGCTCTCTCAGGCCTCGCGCCCCAGCAGGTGTCGAAGTTTGGGGGCGCTGCCTGGGGGCAGGTCAGAGCCCACCCTGCCTGCGACTGTGCCCTGGCCTCAGGTGCCCCGTCCCCGGGCCCAGGGGCAGAGCCCTTTTTTCGACTGGCCCATCTGGCCCCCAGAAGCTGGGGCCAGGCTTCAGCCTGTGAGCGGGTGTGGAAGGTAGGGCTCACGCCAGGGACCCCGGTCCTGAGCTCGGAGCTCCTGGGAGTTCCTGTCTGCTGTAGGCCAGGGCCGCTGAGGTGAGACCACTGTGCTGATGGGGGCTACACTCGCCTGGGGTCCCACCTGTGTTGAGCCCTGTCCCACCTTGCCCTGCACCAAGGGGCCCATCTGGTTCTGTCCCCATCCTGCTGTCCTCGGCATGCCTGACTCCCAGGGGGGCCCTGCTGGCCCCCGCAGCTCTGGCCTCAGGATGGCGCAGGGAACACTGGCTGGCAGGCCAGGAGGACGTGTAGGAGGGCAGAGGGCAGCAGAGGTTGTGGCCTGCACCCGTGGCGGGCACCCGGGCACCCTCAGGATCCGGCTATTGTCCCTGGGCTGGATGCAGCGGAAATGGGTGCCACCAGGAAGGCAGGGTCCCAAGGCTGCCTTTCCAGAGGGCAGGGCTGAGGGTGTGTCTTCCCGGCTGTCGGCACTGCCTGGGAAGGCGCTCTGGAAGAAGGCACTGGGCCCCAGGGCCCCAGTCCCCCGGCCCTTCAGCTCACTGCGACCCTACGCAGCCTTTGCAGCCTGCCTGCGGGGTACCAGGTGAGCTTGGTGGGGGGGCAGGAAGTGGCCTTCGTCCTCTGGGGCCATGGCTGCCCCAGCCTGGGCAAGGCCTGACTTCCTGGTGTGCAGGCCTTTGTGGGTGACCTCACACAACCTGCTGCGATCCTGTTCCACCCATAACCTGGCCCCAGCTGTGCTCCAGAGGGGACTGGGCCCAGACCTGAGTCCTCCCCCGCCTGAAGGGGACCAGCAGCAAGTGGGAACAGCTGAGGGGGTCTCCCCAGCCCTAAGGTCCTCGCTTACTAGACCGTGATGTTGAGCTCATCCTGGGGGGCAGCCGGGTCTGGCTCTACGTGGCCACTGTCCCCTCTAGGCCCCCTGGACCTGTGGTGCCTCCTACGAAACAGTTGACCACTGCGTCCATGTCGCTGGGAGACGAGGGTGTCAGGGGCGAGCACCTACAACTAACTGGAAAGAGGAAGGCTTCCTGCCACTGGCCGCGGTCCTGCCCTGGACTGTGGGCCAGCGGGCCAAGTCCCTCTGACAGCAGGGGGCCAGCCCACCCTCCATGAGCCCAGGCAGTGAGCGCCCAGGGCCCGAGGACACAGGTGAGGCATTCTGGAACCCTGCTGCAGGGGCTCACGTGGACGGGGAGCAGGTCCTCGAGCCAGCCTGCTGGTCAAAGGAAGTCAGCCCAGGGGTGACTCAGTGCTCTCACCCACTCCTGCGTGGACCGGAAGGAAAGGCCATCAATGGTGGTGCCGCTGCTGCTGCTGCGGCTGGCCCCGGCCAAGACTGGCCCCCAGTGGAGGGGCCCAAGAAGTCCTGGCAGCTCCCTGCCCGACGGAGAAGGAACCAGGGCACTGGGCCCTGAGGGCAAGGGATGAGGGTCACACAGCTGCCAAGGGGGTGTTCTCCTGTTCTCAGGGAGAACTCTGGGGGAGGTAGGTAGCCATAATTAGGAAAACCTATGAACGTATAAACAATCCTTTATTTAAAAATACAGTGAAAACCTCTAGATATTTGAATGCAATGTTAAACAGAAAATGCTAGGAGCGAATGAAGGAGAACTACTACAAAATGTCAGCGTGGGTACTTTTTTGGTTTTTAGGTTTTTACCACAGGGCAGGTGTGCTGGCTCTAGAGATAGAGAATGAAAACGAGAAATCACTCCCCAGGGGGATGGCCACACCACAATCCCTTCTCCTCTCGGAATCTTGGGCATGCACACACACGTGCTGTGCTGAGCGTGATTTTCAAACTACCTGGCTCTGGGCACGAACCACTGTAGGCCACGTGGGAGTCCAGCCTCTTAACTACCACACCACCTGCCAATCCCAGCTTAGATTTAAAAAAAAAATTTTTTTTGGAGAGGTTTTTGCTATAGGGTGCATGCGCTCGCCAGACAGAGAGAGAAACAGAGAGACAGAAAGCGAGAAATCACCCCCCGGGGGGATGGCCATGCCGCAATCCCTTCTCCTCCATTCTCCTCTTGGTATCTTGGGCATACATGCACACGCGCCCAGCGTGAGTTTAAGCCACCGGGTCCGGGACTCGAACCACGGTCAACTATGTGGGAGTCCAGCAACATAGCCATTATGCTAACTGCTGGTCCTAGATTTTTTTAAAAAAAGAACTATTTTATTTAACTTTATTTACTTATTTTAATTTGACCAGAGAGGTACAGAGAAAGAGAGAGAGAGAAAAAGAGAGAGAGAGCAAGCCGCTGGGTCTGAGACTCCAACCGCAGTCAGCCATGTGGGACTCCAGCACCTTAACCACAGTGCCACCTGCTGGCCCCTCCAGCTCAGATACCCCTAAAGGAGCACTCACACTAAGTCTGGAAATGGGAAAGAAAATCACTGGGACGGGATGTTCAGCACGAAGTGCAGAAAGGCCGGGAAGCTCTGTGGACTGTGACCCAGAGACTGCAGCTACGCTCCCAGTACCCTGTGACAGGCCAAGGCAGCTGTCCCACCTGACCACCGCTCT